TGTGTCGCAATATTGCCAAAAGTAGCTTTAACTTACGACATACGATATAAACACGATTCTCCTCCCTTTCAAACGTGCCAATGACACCAGTGGGCCATTGATACGCATGCGCGCTCGGTCGTCTCGAGATTTTGTGACGTCACAAAGAAGCCAATGAAGCAAAACCACGCTCATTTATCTTGTGTTTCCTTGGGTGAAATTTTTTTGAAAGTTTGTATTCTTCATAATATAGATGCCTATTTTACAACATCATTTTTTGACACAATTTTACTTAGGGATTTCTCTTGTTTGATCAACTGAATAAGAAATTTAAAGATCTTTTACGTATCTACCAGATAAACTTTTCATTTTTTCACATTGAATTATTGTTCGAAATCGTTTTCACTAGACTGCCGAGTTTGAAAATATTTTACCGAGGGTAACTGTAGAAAGGAAAGCAAATAGGTGGAAAACAGCAAACAATGGTTATCTTTACGATTGGTTGTTGCCATGGCAACAGTCTGCGATACACTCTTATGAACGAAAAAGAAATCCCTGGTGTGTTGCTTATCTTCATGCGAATGCCAGGAGCTTAAATCCAAAGTTCAATCAAATAGTTCATTCTTAGTTCTTCATCTGTCTTTAGGTGTAGATACTGTTAATACCGTAGGGAGCCACCTTAAGCTTATATTCCCTAAACACGTTCGAAATACGATGTTGGATGGATACTTCAGGATGGACGCAAGGTGCTTTAGCGTCATTCGATATTTAAACCAGCTTATTAAGCCGACAGCTGTCTTAAGGCCCGTTTACACAGGCAATTTTTGTCGCGCTAAAGTTACAACTTCAAAATCGCACGTGTAAACCAGGTGCGATTTTCAGTGCGATTTGTCGCCGTGATATCGCAGGGGTTTCGAGCATGTGTGAAACTTGATGCAACTTCAGCGCGACAAAAATTGCATAGAGTTGCCGCGACAAAAATCGCCTGTGTAAACGGGCCTTTATGAAGGATAACACCACTATATATAGTACCGAGAAGTCACCTTTTCAAGGACGCAGCGTGTTTTAGATGTGCTGATTAATGCAAAATAAATTAATGCATGTTACCATGGTTCTAATTACGTCATTGTATTGCCCTATTTTGGTGCTGTTTAATATTCCACGGTATAAAACGTCGGGTTCTCGCCGTTCTTCTCTTCCGCCAGATGACAACCGCCATGTCATCACAGACTTTAGACAAACTGACTGACGAACTTAAACAGGCTTACAATGCTGTTCTGCTCCAGGTTTTTAAAGATTTGGAGGCAGAGCAGCGGGCTGAACTTTATTATTACTTTACCGCGCACATATCTAGAGATACCTTGCACATTCTTCGCTCTTTGGAAGATGCTGGCAAAGTTTCCTGGTTAGACGTAACTTCCCTGAAGAAAGCTTTGACCGAGATATCAAGATTGGATCTAGAGAGGAAGGTATCCCGCTACGAAATCAAGAGGAATCTGACAATTCTTCTTAATTTCTATGCAGAGATGAAGCTTGAATTACAACCATGCAGCCTCTCTAAATCGGTGGAATCAGTAGCTCGATGTTTGCTGGACCTCATGACGGCCATAGTTCGAGATGGATTTGACGTAAACATCGTTAGATCATTGACAGAACCGATAAAAGGGACGAAGAAAGTGTTGCTGGACTGGGAGAGGGCAATCGAACGTGAGCTGTCATATCCATGGGATAGGGTGACTATCCTTGTCCTCATCACCGGAGAAATGATTGCCGAAGCTTTGGCGAACGCAGGTCTTAGCTACACTCCAGAAGTGCTGAATATGTCTTCTACCTTGGCTGATATGATTTGCACTCGGATGATAGAACAGGGAAGCTGGGTGAGTTGACGAGCGGAGATATAATTAAAAATTATAATGAAAAGTATTTTCCTCTTTAGGTTTTGTAGGAAGGAGAATTTTTAATCGCACTTGTTTCTAGATGTAAATACCCTATCGGAGTACACAAAACATTTCATTCTCGAGTGTGATTGGTTTGAAAGTAGCACGTGATCTTTGCCAAACCGAAATCGAAACTCGACAGCAAGGTCAACGCGGAAGCTTGAAGAAATCTTANACAGGAAGAGTTCTGTGAGCATGTGAAAGAACGTTACAACCCGGTGGGCGGTCAACAGCCGAATGCAATGATAGATGAAGCGGTGCAACAGTTAAAGAGGACCCCTTTTTTTCAGTAGAAAGAAACTTTTACCTTTACCATCTTTAATTTCTCTTTAAGTAGTCTACAGCAGAAAAATATAGCAATACAATCATGGAAAAATTGACAAAAAAAAAAGACAAAAAAAGGAAAAAAGAAAAAGAAAAAAAAAAAGAAAAACAGTGGAAAAAACAAAGCCAAAAAAAATTAAGAGAATAGAAAACAAGTCACGAAACAATGCCAAGTTCAACACAACAAACAAATTTGAATGACTTCCGAAATGACAGCGGATCACTTTCATACAGACTGGTGCAGTACTCCTGTCTAGACTGCGCAGTTTGGAAAAATACAAGTATAGTAACAAAATACTATTGCTTTTGGCGGGGCAATATCAAGATGATGCAAATGCACACTTGTTCATTGTCAAGACAATATATTTAAAAAATGTTGTGTCTGGAGACGCAAATATTTCAAATATTACTTTGGCGGGGACTATTGAGTTCCATCGTCAAAATAAATAGAATTTCATCGCCAAGATGGCAAATTGAGCGCATTGTAATTCAATGCCTATTCAAGATGTACAACTTGTACAACAGTGTCACTTTTGCTGAAAAAAGTGGATGCAACACTTAATACGTTTGATTNCTACATGTGTGGCACAACACTTTTTTTTAAATCTAATAATATGATGTCAGTTATACACAAAAATACTTTCTGTACGCGCAATGAAAAAAAAATCAGGGTCTTGAAAAAAGGCCTCTTGTCTTAAACAGGGTCAGGATTTGAAGGTCTCGGGGGCACACCCCTACCCAAATTTTCGTTAAGTGACCTTCCCCTGGTCTCTAACGCTATTTGTTCCTTGACAGGAAGAGTTCTGTGAGCATGTGAAAGAACGTTACAACCCGGTGGGCGGTCAACAGCCGAATGCAATGATAGATGAAGCGGTGCAACAGTTAAAGAGGACCCCTTTTTTTCAGTAGAAAGAAACTTTTACCTTTACCATCTTTAATTTCTCTTTAAGTAGTCTACAGCAGAAAAATATAGCAATATAATCATGGAAAAATTGCCAAAAAAAAAAAAGAAAAAAAAAGGAAAAAAGAAAAAGAAAAAAAAAAAGAAAAATAGTGGAAAAAACAAAGCCAAAAAAATTAAGAAAATAGAAAACAAGTCACGAAACAATGCCAAGTTCAACACAACAAACAAATTTGAAGTAACCGAAATGACTTCTGAAAGTTACAGCGGAACACTTTCATGCAGACTGTTGCAGTACACATGTCCAGACTGCGCAGTTTGGAAAAATACAAGTACAGTAACAAAATACTGTTACTTTTGGCGGGGCAATATCAAGATGATGCAATGCACACTTGTTCATTGTCAAGGCAGTATATTTAAAAAATGTTGTGTCAAGAGACGCAAATATTCCAAATATTACTTTGGCGGGGACTGTTGAGTTCCATCGTCAAAATAAATAAAATTTGAACGCCAAGATGGCAAATTGAGCGCATTGTAATGCAATGCCTATTCAAGATGTACAACTTGTACAACTGTGCCACTTTTGCTGAAAAAAGTGGATGCAACACTTAATACGTTTGATTGTAACGGAACAACTGGCAATTTAAGCGTGTCCCATAGAATTAAGAGATTTGTTGTCTTTCCTAAATGTTGATTAGTTTTAAACGTAAATAACGCCTACATACTTTTTACCTAGCTGTTAGTTTAGTACAGATATTTTGTAGGTGCAGGTGTCTCCTAGAATTTCACTTTCCTTTTCCGGCGCTGTTGTCAACGCCTTTTTAATTTGCTTTTTTCAGTCACTGCTAACTTATATTCGTAGCTTGTTTGTAACTACTTTTAAGTGACTGTATAGTCATTATAAGTATGAGAAGATTTTTTGTAATTGGTGGTAAAGGAATAAAAAAAGAAAACGAAAAAAATTTTCACGTCATTGTAGAGAATTAACATTGCATGGGGTTAGAGAAGGTACCCATTTCTTCAGTTTGTGATCGGTACACTCCAGATTATTGCAATTGCAGGCCATATGTCGATGCAATCATGATTGTCCTACAGTAAAGCCTCCTGTGCGACCACCTCTCGTGAGCGACTGCGTTTCCAAACTACTAAAGTTTTCCCATTACTGTGAATGGAAAGCCTTGACGCCGGCCTCCTCGCATCATCGACCGCGACCACTTTTAAGACAGACGGTTTGAAATTTTCTTTTGTTTTTAACCTCCCGTAGTCGCCTTTTTATAACAAAATCCTATCCTCTTCATACAATCCCGGCCTCTGAGAAAATCGAGTGCGTCGAGTTGTCGCACTGCATTTGCTGGTTCGCTACGAAAGACTTTTGATCGAAAAGCGCGCTCAGTTGTAAGAGAGGAGACAGTGTATAGGTGTAGAACTCGAAATCAGCTCTTGAAAGCACGGAACCTCCAGTAGTGACGTATTGAAAGTGTCATGAGCAATATAGTCGTTATTGGGTCTATAAGGTTGTTCAGTTCCCTCTGAGCGACTGAGCAACTACTCTGAAATGAAACATTCAATTCTGAGCTACATGAAAATCTGTACTGATTTATCAGAGCGAAACAATTACCCGTTTGGCAACCTATACGTAATCACAGGATTAAGGGTTGGTTTATTTCTTTTACTGACTTTTACTACGGCCGTGCACGTTGGTGCCTCTGAACTTCTTCCTTTAACATTGTTTGGACTATTATTCCAGAAAATGTCAGAAAATGTGGTCAGTTGTTGCTTTTTTCCTCCTGTAAAACTCATTTGTCTTTGAGTGTTTCTCAGACGCAAAAAATTGTTTTATAACAATGGTGAAAACCAAAAATTTTGTCGCGTTGCAGCGCGTTTTGTGCAGAAAATGTTTTAAAAATGCACCCGTCTTGGTCGAAGGGTTGATAGGTCCATCTGAGGGGCTGTGATCTACACCTGTCGTTTTTGTTGGATCACCTGAACTACAGTTTGCCGTGTTTTTAATTTAAAAGCTCCTTTCCTTCCCATGAGACGACCGACTTCTTTTAAGTCTTCGCTGTCGCAACGGTTTCCTCAAATTTCGTTCGGAATGGAAATGACTTAGTCATTTCGGACAGAAGAAACAAATCTGTATCTAAATATAGACATCCTCGGAGACGCAGGGGCTACTAGCCGAGACGAAGCGATATTTTCGGACAAAAGTTTACTTCAAGAACTGAAGAGCCCCTGGGAACTTATTCTTACCTAACCAGGTCCAGAAGTGGTCGATTTCCGTCCCGCTGATTGGCCAGAAAAATACTTTTCTGGCCAATCAGCGAGGAGGTCCAGTCGGTTAACTCTGTCGCATTCTTACACGAAGTAGATTTCTTCATCGATCGACCTGCTTGGCTTGTACAGCCGGAAAATTCTCGTGGAGAGTTTCAGAAAAAAAGATTCAACGAAGCCGAGGAAATCCAAACCGTAACATGGGGGCTAGCAAGCGATACTCTTCTCGGCGGATTTATCGAAGGTATATCGTAAATTTTTATAGCTAACGTACCCGATTTCTACACTTTTGTTTTTGACTGCTGGGAAAGCTAGTCGAGTGCACAAGCTTACTTGTTTCTCCTCAATCGTTGAATAACTTCTGAAACTTTCCACGATGTGCAAATCGCCGTTGCACGGGCACGCAACTATGTCGACTGAACGTGGGAACGATCGGCTAATTACTGCTAATTACAGTGCAC